AGTGGGTGAAACAGACGGTTCCTCAAAAGGCAGTTAGGCACAGGGTGGTATTAGCGCACATTTCTTCGGAAACTTCTGGCTAGTAGATTGGGTTGACCCATAATTTCTGGCCGATTTTTGTTCCAATTCAAATTTCTTCGGGTAAAATTAGCTTCATAATGAAATAAGTTGATATGTTGAAGAACACATCAGGACCTTCAGCCAAGATGTTTCGGAAGCTCAAATGCGCCACGAAATAATTAAATAAGGAATAAATAAATAAATAATTAATATTATATAAATAAGGAAAAGCCACGAAATAAGCTAGGAATTAAAATAGGTCAACAACAAACTTAACAATGATGCCTTATGACCATTTAAAGAAGAACCTTGCAAGGAGAGCGGTAGGCAAGATCAGCGCCATGTTTGCCCCAGTCTTTGCTACTGATCGGCACTGAGCTATTGGCTCAATAGCATCGGCAAAGACGATAGGAGCTGCAAAGTTCGACCTCATCATGGACCTCCAGTCACTTTCGATGAGGACCCTTGCGCAACGAATAGGAAGTGCATCCGGACGCTATTAGCAGGAAACTGTAGCAAACATCTGGACGCAGCCTACGCTCCATGAGTCGACACCTGAATGGAATGGGTGTAGCAGAATGAAGTCTCGATGGAAACAGCATGCATCAACTGACCATGACCGAGAAGCACGCCTGACCATCTGCAGAAATTTCATTCTGCGACCGTATAGACAAGACATTCCCTAGTTGGTCACCAGTGCAGATGAGTCATGAGTCCACCACGATAACAACACGCGGCACGCCTGGTGGCTACCTCGCAGCCTGGACCACCATCTCAACCAAAGCCCGAGCTCTTTCATCAGAGATATTACCCCGTTTGTTGGATTCGCTGGGTATCCCGTTTTGAGAACCACTTCACTTATGCAGACAAGCATTGCGAAGGTAACCATGGAATAACTCCCGAATTGGCCGCAGCAGTGCGGGAGAACGGTTCGAAACGTCTCAAAATCTCCTTCCTCCGAATGAACGCCCGACCTCACATTGCAAAGATAACTCGCCACGTTTGAGGGAAACTGGCTGGACCACGATACCACATCTGACGTATAGCCCTGACATTGCTCCATCGTACTATCACCTCCCCAGCGCACCTGAAGCAGCAGCTACGAGAGAAAAAGCTCAGTGAATACAACCACCCAAAAACGACCTCTCCGAACTCTTCATCCTACAGCTTCACTCGTTCTGGGAGGAATGCATCCATTCGTTCCCTAGCAAATGGATGCATATCAGTGATTATGATTGGTGTTTATACTTTTGATTAATCCTGATTTTCAGAAAAGGAAAATCTTGAAGAAAACGAACAGCTGTCTCGATAATGTCGGCTAGCATAATTTCTGGGTCGAACACAAACATGGCAGGATTCGAATCCAATAATCATTTCTAGGCAAAACATTCTATGGGTTTCTCAGAGTTGTCTTATAACTAGTACCAATCTAGGCTAAGTGAATCAGGATGACTCAATATACTGAGGACTCTCGCTAGCGGGAAAAAATGGTATTTTGCTCCTTCTCTATTTGGGTTAAGTTATTGAGTAAGTGACAGTGGTACTATATGAATTTTTGGTAATTAATCTGCCACACACTCAAGAAACAGTAGAAGCGTGTTAGGATACTTGTCAAACTTCCGTGTATCTTGCTCGCGCTAGGTGGAGAGAAGCAATCCATATGCAGTTATTAGGCATTCCGTTCTTTCGTATAATTTGCTCACGGGGTTCTTCTGAGTTACTACAAAGAAACTATAACAGAAATAATTGCTCTTTTCTATAATTGGCTTTTAGCAGGGATTTCTCTCTGTTAGGAACTAAATCTTACTGGCGCGCCAGGGCCGCGGGGACTCTATTTTTTAGAAGCGGGCCTTTGATCGAGGCTTATGTCATCTGCGGCCTGAGCTTTTGCTTATTTACACATGATATCGCTATCTATTGTGCAGCACCATACCCAGGGTCCTAAGAGCAGGGCAGCCAAGAGTTTGTGTCTCCTTTTGCGCTTTATGTTCTTTTTCCTATTGACCTCTCGGGATATAACCTACTTGGCGGAGCTTTTCTACCTGTAACAGACCGATTATGGATAATTTGCGTGTCCTTATGCAGCTTGTTCATTGAAGTAGGCTGTCCAAAGTTAGAAATGAAACTTGTGGCTGAAGAAGGGATTTGAGAGAGAATGTGATTGTGGACCTCCCAAGCGAGATCGGTGGCCTTTAGTTTCACCTGCCCTGCTGTTTGAGTAATTGCCTTTAGTTTCACGTGAATCTTGTCAACTATTCAGCGACCATGCAGAACTTTTGCTTGTTTGTGTGAGTTTCCTCATCAGCTATGCTGTTCTTCATATGTGGACTTAGTCTACGAGCATTTAGAAGATTAAAATCCAATCGAACAAGTCCTGAACCCCAGTTCCACGTAATCGCTGTCCTTCCCGGATGTTCCAACCACGTCTCTCGCTTTCGCAAACAGTGAATGGCGATCTTCTATTCGGAGGTCTCACGGCATTGTATCCTGTGTCAATTCGGGCATAAATTTTCCGATTTTGATATTCAGTTTTGGCGTCTATAATATTTGGAGGGCCGTCGTAACAGAAAGAATTGTGGAAATTGTGCCAGGGGAATCCCTAACCTCCGCCATTCAGGGCCGAGTCAGAGTTTGTGAATCTAGCGATTCGCTAGCGAATCTCCGTATTCGCAAAGTGTGACATCGGCCTAGTGTGGGATGAATTCATTGATCATTGGAAAAAAGTACCCCGGCCTGATTGTGAGTTCGCGTAAGCGATAGGAAGCACCGCAAAGCAGCATGGGTGAGGACAAGTTGATCCTGGGCCAGAACATTTATAAGAATTGTGTGGATGAGGTTCAAGAGATCCCGATCGCAGCAAAAGCGGCATAGCAAGTAGCGTCGAGCGCGTGGCGGTGCACTCGCCGCCACCTGCCCCAGCGACCATTTGTTTAATTTATTTCGGTTCCTCATTTATTTATGTATTGCGCTCAAAAGGCAAGCTTGAACGCAAAACAAGTTCCTAATGCTGCGCAGAACACGTTTTGAAGAATCAATTTGATAAAAGTTAAAAAAAGGGAATTCCTAACAGCATGCAACTTGTTCAGAATGCGGTCAAATAGTGGGTAAACACAAGAACAAAAAGGTAAACATGGTATCTGATATGAGAAAAAAAAGAAGCTCGCAGCAAGATATTTAATACGAGAAAAAATCGAAAAACTTGAAACCCCTCCACACCCCCTCCCCTTCAGGTATCTCTCACTGATTTTCGGTGGTTTCACACATTTGTGGTTCAAGCTGGTACTAGTCAGGGAAGGCATTCAACTTCCCATGGAACTTTGAATCAAGACCCAGATATATCGATAGAGCTTCAAACGCTGATTACAAATATGGAAACTAAAACTGCAAAATGAACCTGCCAAGGAAGTTGTGAGCAGTCAAAGTTGGCTGGAAGGCGTTACACATGGAACATTCCACCGTCTAGGAATTTCAGAGTCGCCGTGGAGCAGTGGTAATACTCTAACTCTCCAGGACATAGTTCAAGGGTTCTTCTTCTGTTGGAGTGCGAGTTTCTGGAGCACTACCACTACTCCATGGCGACTTGGATGCCCGATAGCTAGCACGATTAATATTTAACACTCTTCCAGCCAACTTTGACTGCTCACAACTTCCTTGGCAGGTTCATTTTGCAGTTTTAGTTTCCATATTTGTAATCAGCGTTTGAAGCTCTATCGATATATCTGGGTCTCAATTCAAAGTTCCATGGGAAGTTGAATGCCTTTCCTGGTAAGTTAAACAGAGTGGCCAGAAATTTATCAACCAACGGTTTTTTACGAAATTTCTCTTCAGAAAATCGCTTGGTTTCTTCCCGACTCGCACCAATTACTTCCTTCGTGCTTTCTCATCTCTGTAAAAAAATCGGTAATAAAATTTACTCAGGACCGAAGAAATTAACGATTTTTCGATTTTATCGCACTGAGCAAAAAACCATGTGGTCAGTTTATTCAAACAGAACAGTGATAACAACCTTCAAAAACCAATGTAACTCAACAATAACAGATCAGCAGAACTAGTACTTTGTTGCAAACCCCTTAGCATCAATGACAGCCTGACATCTTCGTGGCATCGAATCTAACAAAGTGTCGAGGAAAGACTGTGGGATACTTTTCCAGGCTCTCTTCAAGCTGAGCAAATTTTTCGGCCGAATTCCTTGCTGTTTTGCCTTTTATGCGGCGCTCCAGTTCGTTCCATAAATGTTCAATCGGATTTAAATCCGGAGACTGACTTGGCCAGTCAAGAACTTGCACATGGCGCATCTTGAACCAGTCGCGAATGTGGCCGGAAGTGTGCTTGGGGTCGTTATCTTGCTGGAAAATGAATCCCCTGCCGATGGACTGGAGTGCAAATGGACGCATAGTTGTTTCTAAGATATCTTCATATCCATATCTATCCAAATCTCCATGAATTTGGCGAAGAGGTCCGATTCCATGACCACTGAAGCATCCCCAAATCATCACGTTCCCTCCACCATGCTTCACAGTGGGCAGCTGATACAAAGGATCGAATCTTCTGCCGAGTGGACGTCTGATATACTTGATCCCGTCACTTCCCATCAGGTTGAACTTGGATTCGTCAGAAAATAGAACATTATTCCATTGCTGGCGAGTCCAACCGATATGCTCCTGTGCCCACCTGACACGAGCACCACGATTCTTCTCCGAAATCAACGGCTTCTTCGCAGGACGCCTTCCATTTAGCCCGGCAGCTTGTAAACGTCTCCGAATAGTTCTTGTCGACGGAATTTGTTCACTGGCAACGGCCAGTTCCCTTTGGATGTCGGTGGAAGTGAGCCTGGGATTGCCACGACTTAATCGGAGGATGTTTCTGTCGGTAAGTCGTGAGGTCATCCGGCTTCGTCCTGGAATCGGCGCTGGTGCAATCACTCCATCTGCGGAGAATCTCTTCAGAAAATGGCAAATAGTTGATTTATGAACGTGAAAAAGTCTTGCTAGTTCGGTTTGTTTCATTCCTTGTTCAATTCCTCGTAGAATGGCATTGCGCACATCAATTGACATGGTGTGTGCTCCCAACGTCCTAACCATATTCTAAATGCCATACAAAGCAGTAAAATAGAAAAATCCTGAAGAAAAAGGCAAAAATTCATACCGTGAGCTGAAGGCCTAAGAAGCGGAAGGAGGGAATTTTCAGTTTCTTGCGAGTACTGCAGTCTTCAAGATAAGCTTTATTGGTCTATTTGTAAGAACAAGTTTCTAATTTTATTCGACATACCTGTGCCAAGTTTGGGAGCGATTCAGCGATTTTGCGGGGAGAAATTGTCAAAAAACCGTTGGTTGATAAATTTCTGGCCACTACTGTATTCGAACTTCGCCTTCAAAAACTTCATAAGTGCGCCCAGTGAGTGGAGAGGGATGTGGTTATACGTATGTTTATATGACTTTAATTTTTAACCATAATATACAGAACAAACAAAATATGTTCTCTAAAATGAAAAAAGCTACCCCAAAATTATGACGAGAACAAACAGAAAAGCCTTAGGTCCTTCCATACCCCTCCCCTTCATATTTCTCCCACATGCTCTATGGTTTCTACAGTTTTGCGGCTTAACCTGGCACTAGTGGTAAGCGGCATACTTCCAACTTTGCCTCGAAACTTTAAAGTGCGCTAAACCAGCTCTTTTGGCGGAGCTGCTGGGGTGGTATAGTTAATGTTACGGGACTACTTCAACTCGGTCCTTAAACCGCCTCAATTTGATGCTTACCTCAGGACTAAGCCTTAAAGAGAGGACGGACCTGCGAGAGAGCGCAGTCCGTCCTCTCTCCAAGGCTTAGTCCTGGGGTAAGCAAACCAGCCCTTTTGGCGAGCTGCTGGACCAGCTGCACCACTTGCGTCATTACTCTCCTACCGTACCGACCGAGTTGAAGTAGTCGTCGGGGACCCCATCCCCTCCCCAACATTCAGCATACGGCCCCAGCAGAAACGCCAAAAGGGCTGGTTTGCTTACCTAGGTATATGTACGTCAATAATATATGTGAAAGCTTGAAATTTGTAAACCTAAATATACGAAATAAACAAAAATGGAGGCCTTGTGACCCAGTTCGACTGAGAAAAGCTGAAGGAGGAAATATTATCTCGGGTGTGTAAATGCTAGCAATCCCGCTCAAAAAGGGGCAAGCGTTCAGTTCGATTTCCGGCTGAGGTGAATTGATTTGGCCACTAACTCAACATCTTGTGAACTTTTTGCGCAACGAGCTGCGGCAAAAAACAGCTGGTATCAATAGAATATAAATTGCAATCAATCCAATCAATTAACTGTTTAGATCACAAAACAAATTGCAATGGATTGTTGAACATTTCACTCGCGAAAAAGAGCTTTCAAGAATAAGGGCTCTCATTTTTGGATATTTTGAGACTTCGGGACTGTAAAATAATTATATCCTCAGCTTCCGAGAACCAAGGGAGCGTCAAGTGCAGACTACACACCACAAGTGACGACAGCCTCCAATTAAATCTGCTAACTAGAAGTTCTTAGCGATAGCTCATTGTTGGTAAATTATAACTGCAATTAGTACAACTGAAAGAATACAACTGCAAGCAACTGATCGTTTCATTGGTACAAAACATGTACATTTTTAGAAGCTGTCGTCACCTGGCCGTTTCGTGCGGTCCTGCACTCGACCCGACCTAGTTTTTCGAAGAATCAAAATTCTAAATACGCTAGGATTGTTCAGAAAGAACTAGGTAAAGTTCGACACTAGGGTCCGACTCTTCAAGCGAAAATCTCCCAAAGTTCCTTCGTGAATACGAATTCGGCTGTTGATTACGTCCCTTTCTTGAGTGATGAATGGCAGCAAATTATTCACATCCTTAATTACCATGCACGACAACGATCAACATCTGTGTCGATGCAAACTAATGAAAGAGCAAGCAAATAAAAACCATTTAATAAGAAACAGCTGAACAAATAGTAGATAAAATAAGAATAGTGCAAAAACTTTTTGAAGTTATATTTGGTTCCGAGAATGCGCCATGTTTTCGTCATAAGTGCGATACGACATAAAACATACATATATGATGGCTAATACCGATTTTTGAACCTCACATGGCTGGGCGGCAAGGGCAGTGACAAGCAGTCACCACGCGTCACAGATTCCATGATCAAACGTTGATTTTACCCATATGCGAGCAAGTAAGCTTAGCATACCCGCTAGGTTGCTTCATTTCTTAACATACTCGCCTGTGAAAAACCCTGACTTGTACGCCGGCTGGCCCCGAAATTCATTATATGAACTAAATCGCATTCAAAAATGTTACGATGCTAGTGTAGGTAGAATGCGTGGCGCATCCCAAAAAGGATTGGTCTATTCCGAACCGCTTTTTCTTTATGATTTTTCTGATACTGACGGTCATAATATGGACTAACGCGGAGGCCTTAAGACACTTCATCTAACAAATGCAGCGAAGAGACTCAAGAAAGGTTTGCTGTGCTGTTTATCTAGTGTCATCATGAAGGCTTCCCGTACTTTTTCGATTTCCTACTTCCCTTTAATGCCTGAATTTTCGCAAAGATTTGTAAAGGTTGTGGCGCAAAAAAGCTGTCAAAGAATTTTTTTTGGATTTCTGGGAATTCTTGGAAAATTTTTGGAAGGTGTGAAATTCTTTGAAAAAAATCACATTATTGAAGGTTCTTTGTGCACGACCTGTGGCAGTCTTTTCACTGAGTTTGAATTTAGCACGGGGTCCGTTTGGGCTCCGGATACGTACTAGAATATAATGGAGCGTATGTAATAATAAAAAAGTGCCGATCCTTCCTAGACAAACCAAGCACACAATTTTCGATGTAAGTCACTCTCTTAAGAGCTTTTGGTAACTTTTCTCCTCTGTCCGCTCTCCGGTACACTTAGTTTCTAAGCTGGCACTAGAACTATGCACAAGGCAAGCCGCAAAATGATGGAATCTTTTCTTCACCTTTTCTTTCTCTTTACCTTTCTTCACTTAACAGGGTACGCCACTCTAGCGACTACGTGGGTGAGGAATGGCTCTTGTTGAAGGCTTTCTTTGATTGAAGCTTTGATCGTAGCTACCATTAAGGTCCTTGAATCTCCTAAGGACGAATAATTATGAATCATATCTCGCTGTAGTATATCATATGTTTTTAATAATATTAAAATGAACTAGAAACGCGAATCACTGAATGTATCTACCAATTTTATATGAAAGAGTGTAAAAATAAGCGCATAGGAAATTCGCAACATAGACACTCTGAAGCCAATACCTGGAGCGGAGTGCAAACTCCATTACGTGCAGAAATAAGCTCAACTTGCAAAAAAGTGGTCTTTATGGAGTGCATTTCTGTCAATTTTCGGCACACCCCTCCTTCATGGGAAGGCAAATCGTCTTTTCAATAGGCAGCTTTTCACACTTGCATTGTGTTTAACGCTTACATAGCTACATATTTATGCATACACGAACACCAACATTAGCACTTTTAGAAGGCAAAGCCAGTGAAAAAGTTTCCTATCGGAATTTGCCTTAGCATAGCCTGAAAGGATCAATAACGTGGTCGCATAAAGAGGCTATGTCGGGTTACAGCTATCGTTAACTTGCAAACTTCAGTGTAAATGACTTTGCTCTTCCAAGGCAGATTCCAGAATAATTGGATATGGATGGTTTGGTAAATATTGAAATAGGAGGTGCTGCGTCACCCGGCAATGGAGAAAAAAGGGAAACTGTCGAAAACGCTCCGAATAAGAAACTGCTTCAAGGTGATCAATAGTGATCTAGGAACTTGAAAACGCGGAAGAGAGCGCGTGTCCTGAAGAGAGACTCTGGCGACGAGGGGAGGAGAGAGGATAGAGAAAAGAGATAAGGAGACACAGTAAGGGATGCGGTCGCCATGAAAGGTGAAGCAGGCATTTTACGGGCTGAAGCTCTTCGGTGCTAATCCATTTGTGCCTGTGATATATCTCACTAGGGAAGCCAGTTTTACTCGAAATAATCGTCAATAATCAGCTGAATCAAGGAAATTTAATAGTCTGACTGGTCTTACTACTCAACAATATAAAATTTGGCCCATCACCCGCATAATCCCCCCCCGATTACTCGGCGATTCTCCCGACGCGAACTTGAAGGCAGGTTCCGGGATAATACTACTCAGAGTGTTTGTATTGTTGGCTAGGGTAGACGCTTCTGGCGAGGCTAACAGTGGTCGCCTTTCACATCTGCTCGCCAAGTGAGCCAACAAAGCGGTGAAGCCCTTGTCAGTGTTCCCAATAAGTGACCATGAGTGTGCTTCATCGACCCTATGCAATGGCCGTCCGTGCTCTTTCCTACGGCTTGCCGTTTCGCGTTTTCCCGCAGGCACTACTTTCCCCTTGAAGCAACTTCCATTTTCTTGGGTGCCCGTCGAAGTCACTGGTGCAGACGGTGATGGTGGCGAAGACGTAGTCGAACACGTCCAGAAACTATCCGTCAGCCCTCTCTATGTTCCTACTGGGGGTTTTCGTGAGGCTTGCGCATCTCTGGGACTCGCAGGCAGTATGTCACGACCGGAGGAATTCAAGCCGCATTGGGGCTCGGGTGACTTGAGATGTACCTCATTATCCTGCACTGGCCTTCCTCTGATAAGCGCAGGTTGCTTCGCCTCCCTTTTCAATCTTCCGCCCCTCTGCTTTTTACGACGATCAGCCTCTTTCACCATCGCCGAACCCGGACAGCTTTCCCTGTTCCGCGCCCACCCTCAAGTGCTTTCGAAAACGCGCTTTTGATACTCTTATAGGACGAGAGAGGTCTATCACTTGAAAGCTCTGACTGTGCAAGTCAAAAATAGAATTATAGGGTAAGGCTCTATATTCTCAGAGAAAAGGCCGCCAATTCTTCCACAGTGTTAGGAAGAACCAGCCAGACTCCGGAACAATTGAATCAAAAGACGGGAAAGTCTTTTCAAAACCCACGAGAGCCGCCTCCTCGCCTCACTGTTTCCATGCCTACGCCCGGTTTCCGTAATTTTGCTTCACTCTATAAATCATATAATATCCTTCGGCAGACCTCTTTAAGC